AAAGACTTCTTCCAATTGTACACTAAAGCAAATCAAGCAAAACTTCAGCTACTTCATTGATAGCAGTTTGCTGCTCCTGCATAGATGAAAGAAGGTGACAAATTGCCCCTTACAAAAGCTACAAAACCTGTAAGATCAGTAGAACATATCCTGTAGTGCCCACAACACTCTCTCACACAAAGCAATCATCTTCAACCCAAAAAAGACCTGGTATGAAATATTACCATTCAATTTTAAAAAAAAAATCATTATTTGGTCCCTTAAGTAGGCNAGAGTGTTGGAAGAGGAAAGGTGATCAACTGGTAAACTGATGGAAGGGAGTGAAGGTCACTAACCAAAAATGTGCGTTAGACTGAGGTCAAACTCTTCTTATTGAAAACACAGTGCAAAAATTAAAACAACAACAACAACCAAAACAAAAAAAACCAAAACCCAAACAAAAATAAAACAAAATTAAATAAAAAACAAACAAACAAACCAAAAGCAGAAATCCTACTGGAGGAAGAAAGGGGCAATTTGTGGAAAATGGAAAACATTCTTCTTGAAGGTGGTAAAGAAGGATGAGTGGGAAAAAGATGCAGAATAGGATTTAAGTAAAGAGATGTATAAGGAGCACAGGCTGTTCTTCCTTATGCCACCGTCACCCCCAAATCAAAAATGAAAGACTTCTTCCAATTGTACACTAAAGCAAATCAAGCAAAACTTCAGCTACTTCATTGATAGCAGTTTGCTGCTCCTGCATAGATGAAAGAAGGTGACAAATTGCCCCTTACAAAAGCTACAAAACCTGTAAGATCAGTAGAACATATCCTGTAGTGCCCACAACACTCTCTCACACAAAGCAATCATCTTCAACCCAAAAAAGACCTGGTATGAAATATTACCATTCAATTTTAAAAAAAAAAATCATTATTTGGTCCCTTAAGTAGGCTGTGGTGTGTAGAAAGCTGTGGTGAAAATTTATCAGACATTTTTCTCCAAATGGAATGTACGCTCCAGTACCCTAGGAGCTCTATAGTACATGAAATTTTAAAAGAATTGTTAATGTCTTTCTAGGTTTTATAATACCACAAAGAGATACTCATCATGTGCTTTTACCACAGCAGATAACTGCTAATGCCTCTAGTACACAACACTTTCACAGTGGTTTGAATACAAGTCATCTTCCACTCTCTTGGTGAGCAAATTAACGGGATCAATAAATTTTTCAGTATCTCCAGATAAAGACTCTTTACCTTCACAAGCCTGATCAGTAAATTCCTGATGTACAGAAGGGATCACAAACAACTTGCTTTGTGGATTCCCTGAAAGGTTAGTCTGCTCTGAGAAACAGAAAATGTCAAAGGCCTGGGAGTTTTCAGATGTGAACCCACACCCTGATGTGGGAAAGGTTTGTGGAAGATCCTAAAGGTCAGATGTGAGGGTCACCCTTATCAACAAGGTCATATGTTAAGTTAAACTGAAACCAAGAGGAGTTTACTCCCTGGAACCACAGCACTCTGATTACAGTAAATGTATTTTTAAAGGGCAAGGAGCTTTAAAAGTGATGCTTAAAAGCATATTTACCAGAATAAAGAAATATGTACCTTCAAGAAGTTGTTCTTGGGTAATGTGCATAAGAATTTCCAGTGACATGAAAGTTAAAGATACTTCCAAATGAAAAAAAATCTATTTGTAGCTATTCATCTTTGGTTCCCTCTGATTGGAAACAGTAATGATTTCAGTAGACATTGAAAAAAAACCCAAACCCAACAAAACAAACATAGCTTTTCTGCATATTTTAAACTGGTAAACTTTGTATTTATTTTTGTTACAGCCAGAAAATTTTTCTAATTTTATCTTGTGACATTTTGCTTTGGTTAAAAGAAATGATAATTCAGAGCCTTGTTATCTTTTAGAAGAGATACATGAGAAAAAGGCCATTATATCTCTTTACAAGGGGAACGTGCAGGCACTAAAATACATCCTTGCCTTTGAGCTAAACAAACCTTGAGCAGACAGACACGAGCTTAGAGTAGCTTGAGAACAGAAGAGGAAATTCCACCAGAATTACTTCAGCCCTGTCAGGTTTTTGGTTTTGTTTTCATTTCAAGAGGAGGTTTTGAGCATGTACAACCTCCCTTCACCCTCCTCCTACCTGGGTTATCTGACAAGTTTGAGCTCCTTTATCTGCAGGACAGCTCAGTGCCCTGCTTCCCATCCTTCCCTGTCAGCCATGGCAGGCTCTGATGCTCCTCCTGGAGGCACACACTGTCCAGGGAGGCCTTCCCTTGGGAGAGTGGGATGCACTTCCAGCAGCTGAGGCTGTTCCCCTGTGGGCAGCACTGCTGTAAACACAGCTTGAGCTGAGATGGTGCAAGGTGTGATGCTGTGGTGGCAGGGATGGTGCCTCACCACCGCTGCGGACACCATGGGATGTGTGGGAAGGAATCTCCCACCACCCAGGACCATTCCAGCTGCAGTTTGCTCAGGGGCTGAGTATCACCTTCCTGGTAGGTGGATCTACTCTGTCCTGATTAACTTGAGGAAAGCTAAGCTGATTCAGAGTGCTCAAATCCAACACCACTGAACATCTGAAAACAAGCAAAGCCCCCAGCTCTCATTGGAACACCATTCCCATTCCCCCACACCCAGGGACACTGGTAAGATTTCAGGGTGGCAGAAAGCAAAGCACTTCCCTGGCACACACCACCATGGAGCAGCTCCTGGGCAGGGTGAAGCGCTTTGCTTTGACTCCTTCTGAAGCTACACCCTTCCAAGAGACTCCAAGAAGGACAAGGCAGGAGAGAAACCCAAAGGAATGGAGTGGTGCCTGTCTGGGTTCCACGCTGGTGCAGTGAGCTCCTCATTCCCTCTGCACAGACACAGGGATGAAGGACACTCTCCTGCTTTCTGTGATGTTATCACACTGCTAACGATAACAAAAGCAACACCTTCCCTTTAAAAAAAGGCAGGGTTAAACAAATGGTCAGGAAAATAAGCTCATATTCTCCCTAAAGCCAGGTTTCAGCATTATTATGCAAATAGAAACTGTCTTATGCTGTGGATTCACCTGAGGGAATCAGCCCCAGAATCTGAAATCTGAAGGGTTCCTCAAGGTGAGCACAAGCTACAAGTTCTGCCCTAAGGTTTGGTGCAGTTTTGGAGGTCAGACTGGGCTTCTCCAACTCCAGCCAAGACCCTCTCAGGGATTCTATGGTTCCTTTCTTTAAAAAAAATCCCATAGTCTTTCATGGAACTAGACAATTCCATCAGTAACTCACAAGAAACACTTTTGCCTTGCAAGAACCATATCAACAGAAGATAACTTACTGATTTATTTTGTAAACGTTGTGTTTTAACTAACATGGAAGCCTGATACTGGGAATTGATGGTTTCTCTCTTAATGAATGTTGAGCCATATATAGGCCAGTGTTAGGAGGCTCCCATCACAACAAAAGGCCCCTTTTATTAATGACTACTTTATCATTTAAAACATGCATGTTGTTACTTAAAATGGCAAATTGCTTTGCACTGTCCTTGAAGTGCATTGCATAAATATTGTATTCAAGCCCTAGCTTGCACTTCATAAATAATTTATTTTTAAAATACCCTTCCACGAGACCACCAGCTGGCAAGATGTTCAATTTTCTGGTAAAAACATGTATTTATTGCAAGTCTTATTTTAACTTGTTGAAGATTTGCTAAAAGCCACAAGTGACAGATGTTGTAAGAACTGTATTCAACCCAAAACCTCAGGAAGCTGAAAGCCTCATTCTCCTGGTAGGTTTTGTACCTCTGCATAAGCAGTTTCCTTTGCAGGGGAAAAGCTGAAATCTATTCAAGGAAGCTTTCAAGTACCATTTTCTGATAACCCAGAAATGTCTGATAACAGATTATGTGATGATCAGAAAAGTTTATAGATTTCATTGCATTTCTTTTCACTACAATCCTTCCTCCACCATTTCCATTTCATGTTGCTGCATTTAAACTGCTGCATAAACTTGTTCAAAGTGCTCGACATTAAAAAAAAAATCAAAGGAAATTTCAGATAATTAACTTTGATGAATGAGCACATTTTAATTCATGTCTGGTAATATTCTTGTTAATGACATGTCTGCTTAGGACATCCATTAAAAGTCCATTAAGTTAACAGGGAAAGTCTAATAAAGTTATCCTGGAAATTTTCTGGTATATTAACGTTATGGACTTTTAATGAATATCTGCTGTAGGAACTGCTATTAGCAAGGCTACTATTCTAATTAAACTTGGGTCTGAGAGTGAAAAAAAATGTATAAAGATAACAACAAGCAGAAGTAGCACTTTTTTAAAAAATTACTATAAGGGAGATGGGTACAGGTCACAAACCATACTATCAGTAACAGCTAAAAAATTACTATATTGTAGCTTTTTTTGTAGCCTGCCATCCAATATACCCCACATCGACTGTGTCCTTCATGTCATCAGCTGCTGGGGCTCCTTTTTACTCCTCTATTGTTGAGACTGAGCAGTACAGAAAGACCTTCCAGGGTAGGAGATAAAAAATTTAAACACAGTTTCTCACAACAATGCAAAATAAAAAATGCACTTAGGAAATCTGTTCCCTATGGGCATCTCAGTAATCCATTTGAAGCTGCTGACATTCATGATAATACAGCAAAATATCTTTTTATATGTATGTATCTTTTATTCATAGAATCAGAGAATGGGTTGGGTTGGGAGGGACCTTAAAGCTCATCTCATTCCACACCCTTGCCATGGGCAGGGACATGTTCCACTAGACTAGGTTGCTCAAAGCTTCATCTCTCTCTATATATTTATATCTTTTATACATATACACATAAAGCTTTTTATTACTATGAATAATTATGTATGTTTGTTAATATGAATAAATATGTGTGTTTATTAATATGAATATATATGTATATTAATTGATATGGATATGTATTTATTGATGTGAATGTATATGTATATTTATTAATATGAATATGTATGTACATTAAAACCCAACCCTGATATACCTATTTTTTCATACTTATCCTTCACCAAATCTTCCAAACCAATCATTTTCCAGAAACTGTCATCCCAACCTCTATCTGGCGTGTATGTCCACTTGCACACTACTGTACAGAGAGACCTAAAAAAGAGACAATATAGGCACAGAGTCAGGCAAAGGAACATGTTTGGGTTCAAACTTGTGACTAGAAACAAGTTCCTGCGAAAGGATCTCTTCTCCACTGGTCAAAAACTCCAGCAGAATGCTCACATTAAAAGAAAAAAAAAAACTGGTTACTGTTTGGAGTGCATGTCATGAGGACCTTAAAAGGACCTTGTGTTTAAGATTCTTCTCTGCTGAAACAACTCCTGGTCTGGCCACTTCACTGCATAAATCAGTCAAATAACAGGCTGTGCATGTGCCTGGGGGAGAGCAGGGCAGGAGCACAGCAGCTCCGGAGCAGGCAGCTCAGAGTGCTGCTCCTCCAGCCTAAATGGCTGCTCTGCACACAGCCTGTCCTTAGGAAAACTTGTGTTCCTTCTCTCACAACTGAACTGCAGTTCCCAGGAGATCTGGATGATGGGGACAGACGCTCAAGTCTGATTTCTGAGAAGCTGATGTTAAACTCTGCTGAGCCAGTTCAGCAGCAAGGGGCACAGGCAGGAGCAGAAGGACACAGAGGACAAGAACACTCACAGCAAAGTTCGTCCTAACACACAGAATGGTTTTTATCAATATCCCTGACCTTATTCTTCCCCAAAGTATGAACAATATTCCTGATGATTTAGTATTACATGGGCTGTTTTCTGTCTGAACACTAAGAATCATCTCCAACAATCAATATTAAACTGTGCTTGAAAAGTCAGTCAACTAAAAGGTATTAAAGATGCTAAATACCACTGAAAACTGCAGCTCTGTGCAGTCCTGGGAATACCACAGTACCAGCAAGTGCAAGACAGCTCAGATGCATCTTGGGGAAGCACATCATCATAACTGTTCTCAAAGAGAAACCCTGCTCAGAGGTGGATTTTCTTTGATGTTTTACAAGACAGCTTATTTGTGACTCATGTTTAGCCAAGGTGAGCTTACACAGACATATTCTCTTTATTAGGATGGTACAATTTGAACGTATATCTTCAAAGCAAACTCAGTTTTACTGAAGCATTTGACTTTTTCTTGCAGTTTTGCATAAGTAAAAACGAAATAAAATTTCTCTCTTCAACATTATTTTTTGGAGTAAGAGGAAATCTTCCCTTTCATCCAAGAATATTATCCAGGCACTGAAATATGAATCACAGAATGAGTTGGGCTGGAAGGGACCTTAAAACTCATCTTGTTCCAACCCCCTACCATGGGCAGGGACACCTTGCACTACCCCAGGTTGCTCCAAGCCCCATCCAACCTGGCCTTGAGCAGAAAAAGAAAAGTTATTTTTATTTCCTATCTGCAAATCAAAACTAGAGTTTATAGCCACTGATACTGCAGACAAAGAAAAACAGCAAAAGTCTTTACACACAGCTGGAAAACTATCTGGGATAAGTATTTCATGTTTTGGGGGGGGTTACAACAAGAAGCAACATCCTCTCATGTGACACTGAGCAGAAGATGGGATGGTTACATGGACTCTCTGAACTCCCACTTTCTCCTCTGGGACAGAAATATGTCTTTTAAATGCCTTATGTTTCCTTCCATCCTGTTGTACTGGAGTTTTTACCAGAGGACAAGTGATAGTCATTCACATCCCATTGGTTGTAAAGGTGTGTTGGTTGCTCTTTGCTGCAAGAGAACAATTGCCATGACATATTTTGGGGGGGAAAAGACATTAGTTAACTATTTATATGCCTATAAATAAATGTAGTCAATGAATGCAGAGTTTATTTCAGGATTACTCTTAAAACATTTCTGATACTCTCACCCCCTTTTTTTTTCTTCTTAATAGTTTAAGAATAGACCACACAATCTCAACTCAATGTCTGGTTTGAAAACAGAAAAAGCACATGACCTGTAACTACAGCAATGGCAATGTTGATATAAGGAATTCCAATTTCCAAGGATTTAAAAGCCAGACACAAAAATCTAATTAGGACCTTTGACAAAAACTGGGTGAATAAATAAATTCTAGGCTGAAGAAAATACTGGGAAAAAATAAACATTTTCCCCAAATTGCTTCAAACCTCTCATTAAAAGGAAAAATAAAGACAGGGTATTTGAAATAAAAAGCACTTCATCAGTTCAGGAAAAATTTAGACATAAAGAGCGAAAAACAATGCATCAAGTTTTCCCAAATATGGGAAATACCAAATCATAACAAATTATCATCAAAACCGAATATGTCTTTTTCTAATTAGACTGAAGCTCTGAACTAATGCCACACCCTGAGAAAGGCTCCAAAGAACATGTTTTAACCAGGGGCCTGCTGTCCCACACAGCTCCCTCTGTGGAACACCACAGCACACACACAGGCCCATGGAATCACTGGGGATGGGGAGACATCCCCCCTGCCAATCCACAGAATTCCAGCAGATCCCAGCTCTCTGGCAGGATATGGCTGCACTGAACACATCCTGGAGATTCATAAAGGCAAAGTGCTCACAGAACAAGGATAAACAGAGCAGTTCTGGTTGGATTTTTAGCACAGTGTGGAAAATGAAGTGGGAAACTCTTCCCAAATGTACTGGCTGGCAGATCCTTAAGTTCTGGTATGAAAACCAATCTCAGATCTGAGCTAAAACACTAACACATTATGTTGGCAGGTTTTATTTTCATGGCCACAGCAAGAAACTCAAAATGCTTGTTTTAAACACAGTCTGAGCATTTACACTTCTCTGGGATTCAATCTCTTTCTTCCACTCTTGCTGCCTCTCAAAAAGTAGGTGTTTAATGGAACAATATGGCTTCATACAAACCCCTAATATCAAAGAGAAAGTGTCATACAGCAGAAAGGCATTCTGCTCTCTTAGATAACAGTTCAAAGGAAAGGATTTCTTTGTGATGGCCATGATGGATTAACATCACCACACGCTTCAGAAGCACCTGGATGGGCTGAACTCAAAGCCCTGCCCCTCACCTGATGAGGTGCTCAGTCTGTATGTCCCAGAGAGCTCAGTGCACATGCAGAGAGAACACCTCATTCATGGCTTGTCACTGCTGAAGCCAATGGTGTACATGTGTATTATATGTATTTATATATATACATATTAACTTTATAGGAAATCACTCAGAAATTCTCCTTCAGAGCATCACCCTGAAAAGGGGATAGCATCACTCCTAACATGGGAAAACTCTGTCCAGAAAGACACTGTGGGAAAGAACCACCTGAGGAACCAAATCAGTACACCTACAAATAAAGCCTCAACTATGAGAAAATTTTATATTTCACAGAACTCCTAAGTTTGATGAGATGAAGGGCAGACATTAAACAGAAACAGTACTGATATGTACCATGGTATATTCAATTTTTCCTATTTGGCAGCATTGCCTCAATTATTTGGTCATAAACACCAGACTTGTGCTGGCTGAAGCTGGATAAACCAGATGGGTTGAGCAAAAGCTCCTCTTAGTTTACTCCCAGGATCAGCTGAGTTAAAAGGGGCAGAGAAGAGGCAATCCCAGAGGGAACAGCCCTCTCCTGACTGCCTGATCCACCACAGGATTTGAGGAGCCATAGATGGAACCCCTCAGTAGCACAAGCCATATGTAGCCAGTCTGAAATACCATGAGTTTGGAGACACTTTTCCTCAAGCATATTCTCAGCACAATGAAATGAAGGATTTCCTTTCTCTGTTCAGAACAAAAAGTTTTGCTTAGAATATTCCTACTGAAAAAAAAAAAAAAAAACCCAAAAAACCAACTGTTGTGCCTGGAAAATTTTTATTTTATTTAAACCAGATTTTCAACAGGAAAATGATTATGTTTAGAGTTTCCTATGAGTTTCTTGCTGAGGACTGACTGGATGTGCTGAAGTCCTGCATAACCAGAATCTCAGCAGTCTTAAAAACACAGAGAGGCTGTGAACACACACTTGTAATTCCCAAAATGTTGTGATCACTCAAGTGATCAAAATTTGTTTCTGTCTGACTCTTCCTACATTATCTGCCCATTCTGAGTATTTTCTTTCACTCTGTTGTATTTCTTGGAGAGAAGGAAATCAGATACATTCAGTGAAAATGGGAATTACTGCATGCTCTAAGTTATCAGCATAAAAAGGTATCTAAAAGATAAAAGTCACAAAAAACTTCTCCACAACTACTTAGGAGTCACCAGAGCTTCAGACTTTGGTCCTTTCTTTGTTGACACATATCCCACACTCCAAAAGGGATAAAGCCAGCACAGATAGGATTCCCAAATCTGCAGAGATCCTGCCCTGCCTGGGACAGCACCTGCTATGAAAATAATCCTGGGGGTTACTCCTTAACTGCAGTTGTCTTGTGGAAGTCATCCCTATTTTAAGTATAGGTTGATAGGTAAGTCCTATCAACTAAAAGTTACTAAGAAACCTTTTTTTTTTTTTCCTGAAAAGTGAGCCCATAAGGCATTTCTACATGACCTTCCATTCCACAGGGCTGGTACAAGATTAGTTAGCCTGGAAAATGAGTCAGCCACCAGCTTGAAAGGCAGAGAACCCCTAGCTGGGGCATCCTGAGGTGAATGGCAGCTTTGTTGTCAATTCCAAAGCAAAAGGGTCTGCTCCATTCATCCCAAGTGCTCAGAAATTAACCGAAACTCATGAACTTTATTAATTTTGTAGGCATCATTAACAGCGCAGCAGTTCAATCACTGGATCACTGAACTAAAGCCAGCTGCACCTGCTGAGGGCTGTGCCAAAGCTAAATCCTAGAGAAGCAAGGATAGGGTACAGCTAGATCCCAAAAGGAATAGCATGAAGTAGGATAAAGTAACTCTCTGTGGTCTGTTGGGCAGATTTATTTAAAGCTACAAAGAATCAAAAGCTAAGAAAGCTTTATGACGTTGTGAACGCAAGAAGGAGACCTGAAACAATGGAGTGTGACTGTCACATCATCAAATGGTTTTCTTTTGTTCTACAAAGTTTAAATTTAAAACAGATTTTGAATTCAAATTGTAAACCAGGGAATAGATTCTGCTCAAATGAACATCTCCACATATTGACATCTGCGCCAGGC